GTGACCTTCATAGATGATGCCACACGCAAGGTATGGGTTTATTTTCTTAAAAGTAAATACGAAGTATTTGATGTTTTTAAGAAATGGAAAACTGCCGTTGAACTTGAAACTGGTTTGAAGGTGAAATGTTTGAAATCGGACAACGGAGGGGAGTACATTAGCACAGAGTTCATGGACTATTGTGCTGAACGAGGCATTCAGATGATAAAGACTGTTCCACGCACTCCTCAACAAAATGGAGTCGCAGAAAGGATGAATAGAACTCTAAACAAGAGAGCCAGAAGTATGAGAATAAATGCAGGGCTCCCGAAGATGTTTTGGGCTGACGCAATTAACACTGCTACTTACCTAATCAACTGATCGCTTTCAGTTCCGTTGGGTTTCAAAGTACCTCAAGAAGAATGGAAGGGTAAAGCTGTTGACTATAAGCACCTAAAGGTTTTCGGGTGCAGTGCTTATGATTTGAATCAAGATGGTGATAAGCTAGATGCAAAGGCCAAGAAGTACACCTTTATTGGCTATGGATCAGACAACATGGGCTACCGGCTTTGGGATTTTGAAAGCAAAAAGGTAGTCAGAAGTAAACATGCGACGTTCAATGAGGCTGAATTGTACAAAGACATAAAGGAATCAAACTTTAAGGTTCAAAAATAGCAGGTTGAGTTTGACACGGGAGCAGAAAAACAGGGAGCTAAATTGGTTCCTGAACCGGTTTCCGAACAAGAAACTGAAACAATTGTCGACACAGTTCCAGAGTTTGAAGTCGGTGGAAATGATGAGTCAAAGGTAGCCTCTGACAGTGGGAGTTCGGAGTCTGAAGATGAACAATCCCCATCTGACCAGACTGATCAGTGGGTCAAGAGGTCCACCATAGTTACAAAGAAGCCAGATAGATATACTCCTTCAATTAATTATATTCTCTTGACAGAAAATGATGAGCCAGAAAATTGATTGCAGGATCTGATATGAAAGAAATAAAAAAATTGAAAAAAGAAATGTCTCAAGAATTTGAGATGAAAGACTTGGGTCCAGCCAAACAGATACTGGGGATGAGCATCATTAGAAACAAGGATGGTTCTTTAACACTGTCCCAGGAGAAATACATTGGGAAGGTGTTAGAGAGATTCAAGATGAATGACGGGAAGACCAAGCCTAGAAGTACCCCATTGGGAAGTCATTTGAAGCTGACCAAAGAACAATCACCTAAATCCGAAGAAGAAAGATCAGAAATGGCTAAAGTTCCTTATGCATCAGCGGTTGGGAGCCTCATGGATGCCATGGTTTGCACTCGACCAGATATTGCTCATGCCGTTGGCGTTGTTAGTCGATTTATGTCAAATCCGGGTAGAGAACATTGGGAAGCTGTCAAATGGATACTTAGATATTTGAAGGGAACCTAGAAAATGGGTTTATGTTTCAGAGAGAAGGATGCTATTCTCAAAGGTTTTACAGATGCTGATTTTGGTGGTTGTAGAGAGACATTTAAGAGCACTACAGGGTATGTCTTTACAGTGGGAGGAACAGCAGTGAGCTGGATGTCTAGACTTCAGAAAAGTGTGGCGTTATCTACGAGAGAGGCTGAGTATATGGCTGTTGCAGAGGCCAGTAAAGAACTAGTTTGGTTGAAGACTTTTCTTAAAGAGTTGGGCAAACAACAGTCTGATTACTTATTGTACTGTGACAATGAGAGTGCAGTGGAACTTGCTAAAAATCCTGTATATCATGGAAAGACGAAGCACATCGGGATGAGGTATCACTTTGTGAGGGGATTGATCAGTAATAGAACAATCAAGTTGAAGAACATCTCAGGTGCTAAGAATCCAGCAGATATGTTCACCAAGACTGTGGTGCTGGAAAAGCTGAAGCTTTGGATAGCTTCAGCTGGTCTCCTGGAATAGTGTTGAGGAGAGGGGCAACTAGGGAGATGTGAAGATCAAGGAGGATCTTTCATTTACAGAAGTACAGAGAGAAGCCGCAGTTTGGTCCAAAGACTCCAAGTGGGAGATTGTTGGTGATGTGTAGTCATCGGCCCAAAGTGGCCCACTTGTAGACAACTGAGAGTTAGGAGACCAGATTAGGGTTTCGGCCGGCCCAAATGGTTTTAAGCCCAGTTTGCTATAACTTGTCCAGCAAGGGTTAAACCCTAATTAGTTGTCTATATATATGATCTCCTGTACTTGTAATCATTATCACTCAATAATACAAACCCTAGTTGCCCCTGTGGATGTAGGTCAGATTAGACCGAACCACGTTAAATCTCGTGTTCTTTATCGCTTTCTTGCTTTATATTCGTGTGTGTGCTTTTGTTCTTAACA